AGGTTAACAGTCAATTTTGATTTTATGCAATATTCTGAGAGACAGTCTATTGAATTTTGGAGACCTTCTTTAGTAGTAGAGAGGAGAATTAAGTCATCTGCAAAGAATAAATGTCCGACATCAATATTCTGTAATTCAGGAGGGTTTGTGTTATAATTAACTAACTGCGAGTAGAAGTCATCAATAAATATATTAAAAAGTGTTGGGGAAAGATTATCTCCTTGTTTAACCCCGCGTGTAGCTATAAAATGTTCACTATAGCAAGATTCATCTTTACAGCAATATTTAGTGTTTGAGTACATATTATTTATAACATTGTAAAATTTCCCACCTATGCCCTTTTGGTATAGTTTGTGTAACATTAAATTTGTTTCCAAGTACGAATTTAGACGGCATTGTAAAAGTTCATTAAAAAGTTTACCCATACAGCTTGTAACACTTAATCCTCTATAGTTTCATGGGTTACATGGGTCACCAGATTTATAAACAGAAGTTATTTGTACCAAATTCCAGGCTTCGGGTATTTCCCCAGAAAAAAGAATTTTATTAAAGAGTTTTGTTAATATATTTAGAAGTGTACTTGAACCACTTTTAATAAATTCATTGAGTATTAGGTCTTGTCCAGGTGATTTACCAGTTTTTAGATTTTTAATGCCAAGCTTGACTTCACTGTGTGTGAAAGGATAGTCCAGGGGAGTAAGTTTCTGTATTTCAGATTCAACTACATGTTCACAGGAGTTATTGCCCTTAGAGCACAGTAAGTTTTGATAGTGATTCATAAATGCTTGAAGTCCTGGAGTGGAAGAATTTGAGTTTTGCTTAATCTTATTTTTATTTAGGACCTTCCAAAAATCTTTTGAATTGTTCTGATTTAGGTTGTCAATGTTGTCAGTTACTGTCTTATAAAATTCATGTTTTGATTTCTTTTTCATTCTGTTAAATTCTCGTTTAGCAAAATTTGTGAAAGCCTGTAATAAATTGCCATCTTTTGGATTAATTTGAATCCTTCTTCCAAGTTTGCGGACTTCTCTCTTTAGTAGAGATATATCATTAGACATCCAAGGTTTTGGTTTTCTTTTTCTTATTTTACAATTATATATTGGTGGTTTAAAGAGAAGGGTTTTAGATGCAGCTGTTAAGTATATTTTAGGTAATTTACTGTTAATATCATCAATACTAATGTCTTTCTCATTTAGACTTTTATCAAGTTCAACTAGGTTGTTAGAGCTTTCTACATCAACAAGGGCTGTTTGGTAAGCAAGTTTACATTGATTAGACCAAATGTACTGTCCTTTCAAGGGGGTAGATCTGCATTCAATATATGGTTCACATTTAACTGGGCAATTAAAAGCACCACACTTAAATCTAGTACAAATAATGCTATGATCAGACAATTCTGAAGGTGGCATAACATTGAAATACAGTACATTATGTAAAACATGGCTGGTAGCCAACATGTAATCAACACAACTAAAACCATTAAAATTATAAAATGTACAATAACCAAGGGAATCACCAAGGAATCTTCCATTAAGAATTCTAAGGTTTAAAGTTTTACACAGAGTAGTTAAAAGTTCACCATGTAGATTGGTTTGACTATCAGTATTATTGCGTGGTAAAACAGAGTCAGGTGAATAGTCTAGAGGCACAAGGCAGTCAGAAAATGTTTCATTTATAGAATCATGTGGAATAAAATCAAGTAGATGTCCAGTACGTGCATTGAAGTCTCCACTTATAAATACTTCTCCAAGTGACTGAAAATGGGAAACTTCAGTAGTAATTTGAGAAAATATATTTTCAGATGCATCTTTTGATTTATATGGTTTGACATAGCAAAAACACAAGTAGAGTGTTTGTGATCTACAGTTTGGAATAACAACATTTTCTACTCTTATCCATAAGGAGTTATCAGATTCTTTTTCTTTAGTAAAATGTTTATAAATTTCTTTTTTAACAAATACCATAAGACCTCCAGATTTTCTGCCCTTCTTTTTTACCCTTTTGGCATTTAGTACAAAGGGAGAATCCTGGAAGATTGTGTGGTGAATCCTGCATGGTTTCAGAATAACAAATAACATTTTTATAAATAATTATGTACATGTAATTACATCCACTGAATATTTCTATTTTATTTCTTATGAAAACCTATTGCCATTAATCATCAAACAATTAATTATAAACTATAGTTATATCCAGATTTTTAAAGCCATCTGTATGAAATATAGGACTCTTCCATTGATGTAACGTAGGGAACAATATCGCGTTTTTTCATGTACCTTCACACGCTTTATAAGAAGAATTTCTACAGATATTAATATTTTTTCTTTGTTTCATAATACGGGAATCAAAAGTTGCAACCACTGCAAAAGAAAAAAAATCATATCCCGCTTACGCGGGTAATGTTTTTTTTTCCTGCAATGTCGCAACCATAAATCGACATATTAACAGAAACATTTTGTTTACATGCCTGGAGGAACCGGGGGAGGGGAATCCCCTTCCCAATAATTTTGCCAGTATATACTTTAGTATATAAAAGAAGCTAATTTCCAGTTGTGTTGACGAATTTTGGATGCCCCCCTCGAATAAATATCTGATCCCCCCTTTTAGTGCATGTTAGGCTGTGCCCCCCCCCCCCCCCCGCGCTGATGAAATTGCACTTCCTATGGGCCTGGTTAAATAGTACTGTTGTTATCTATTTACTCTACAAGGGCTAAACATTTTTACTGGACCGTAAAACCTACTAAACAAAGATTTCCTTAGGTATCTACGGTATGAACTGTTATATGGGGAAATCTACCCGTTTAAATAACATGTCGGGATAATTCCTTCACTTAATTGGTTTTTACTTATGCTAAAAATTTACAAACTTATTTTAAAATAGTACTAATAAGGTAATTGAATTCTCCTTAGTTTTGCTTTAACCTCTGGACATAGGAAGAAACTTGTTTTAAATTTTGATAATGTTCCCCATCTCATGGAACCTACTGGACAAGAATATTTCAATACTTCATTCTATTAATTCCGATTCCCATTAATTCGATAACATTTGCCTTACACTCATGTAATGAAGACGATTCTTCTTCCCTACCATTCATAAAAAATCAATTTATCATGTGTGATCATCTCACCGATACTCCCTTACAATGTGCATGTATTTGGTGTGAAGACGCTGGAAACTTTGAAAATTAATCCAAATGAGTCCTTTCTTTAGAGTTGAAGCCCCCAACCCCCCACACCCTCCCCGGCTTCCTTTCGAGAAAAAAACAAACCCCAAATAAAGTCTACCAAATAGTGGACAAAAAAGATGCTTCGATCTATTTTCTTTAAAAAAACTTAGTTAAGGTTTCTGTACTGACCCAAGTTTTTCCAAAAATGCACTGTCATAACCTATGTCTAACCTTTCAAACAACACTTTTAAAGCTTCCGGGGTTTATTGAAATAATAAATAAATGAATGTTTCCCAGGGGTCACATGGGCTATCATGTCTACATGATGGGTACGTTTTTAATACATATAAAGTGCGGTGTAGCAATGGAGCCTTTTAATTGATATATTCATGGTACCTGCTTCTTATCAATTAAACATGTAAAAGTACATATATATTATTTCTCCGCCCGAGAAGAGAGAAAGAAAATTGGATTAAGTTTGCAAGGAAATAAAATAACATCATGTTTAGTTAAAAACTTTATATTTTCAGCAAACAAAAAATCCTAGATTAAATGCAGAATTATACATGTATATGTATGGCGTTTTCTACCTCTGGTTATGCAGTGTTCGGTAAGACATTAACCAGTTAATGGCTACATGTAGAATGTGCTTACATCTATGAAACACTGCGAAAAAATACACTTTACACAGCTTCAAGGTCCACATCAAAAGAAGAAACACACACACATTAATTTTTAATTGTTATATTCACACATTTGGAAGACCGGAGATTTTTTTCTCAGATGCCGACTTTGATTTTATTTAATGAGCTTGTTTTTTGAACACATACATAATTCTCAAGTCCATACAGTATAGATTCAAAGCATACAAAATTTTCTTACTTTTTCACTCAGCTACATAAATCCAGACATACATATCTCGTAAGAGACAATTTGTACGAAATTAAAATGGACACTTACAATTACCGGTATTTTGCGAAGTGCGTGTGTAGATATACTTGAATAGTGCAACTAAAATGTACATAATAAATTAATCTCTGAAAGAAAATTCTTAACGGAATCAATCAATTTTGTTTTTAAAAAATCCTGTTGTTCAATTTTGTGTTTTTGACGTTTTTCTGTCTTTGGCATGCTTCAATCAAACAAGGGCATATGGATAAATAATGCAATGTATATAAACTATATATAAAAAGTTCTTCACGTATAAATAAATACTGGTTAGTACTTAGTCTATGTACATAATACTGACTAGAAGTAAATCACAAACAGTCATGCAGTGTTTGTCTTTTATGCCACTATATAAGGCCACAATGACTAGACCAGGAAAATCTAATCGAACACAGCGCGCTTTTCAGCACTAAATACGGAAACAGTTCACATTCGAACTATATTCTCTGGCGGACTGATACTGTCTTTTGATGACTGGTGGATGGAGTTTGGCACATCGCTTGTATTGGTGGTCTTTGCAGTTAAAAGTATTCATAATCACACCTGGAATGAAAAATATTGTAAAACGTTAACAGCTACAAATCCACTAAAACATGCAAGTTTAAAAGCTAATGAAACTTAGGCATTGTCATTTAAAATGGTTTAATGAATAAGAACCTTTAATTAATATATTTCTCATTCTGTTTCTGCATGCAGTACAACTTATAAACGTCTCATGCATATAAACAGCGTGTACATTCCAAGAGCATTTAGAAACTTTAATTAATTCAATTCAATGCAGCAAAGTGGCAAAACAACATAAGGTTGCAAATGTAATACAGGTATACAGAAAAGTGAAAGTATTTATTAGAATATAGAGCAAAGTTCCATAGGTAAAATGAACAATTAAGAATTGTTTAAGAAGAAAAGTTGACACAAGGGAAGTGGCAAACGACAAGCAAACGAATACGGCAAGCACGTGCAAGGATACCTCACTATAGGGGCGGAAACATTTCCATGTACGTGTTCGATTCGACTATTTATTGTTTCTCTATTAGACACTGGATAATCGGGTGGGACTTCTCGTGTCACATCAGTAAGCCTTTGACTTCGTCTCGAATACCTTGGTGGCATGTCGTTAACTGCTTGTCTATACGAAGTTCTGCGGGTATTATGATGCCTCCCTGGGTAATCGGGTGCGGGTGTGTAAGGCGGGGGTCCGTCCTCGTTTAAGAGACTGGGTGGGATGTCACACCACGCCCGTCTACCCCCTTCGTTCCTCACAAAAGAATAAAGTCCTTGCTCAGGATGATAAATTACATCTTGATACTGATCTTGATTTTCTGTCGCAGAAGAAATACTATTGGCCGTGTTTCCAGCCCGATCCCTTGCACGTGCCAAATATGGGTAATCACAATTTCTGGTCCTGATATTCTGTCGTGATACACAATTTCTGTCAATGTTATTGTCTGAACGATTACTTTCAGACTGTAATCTTTGATTGGATTGACTTGCATTCTCAACAATGTTCGTAGAAGCTACACTTGGCGAGCCACTTGGTACAGAATCTGCATTATGCGTTTCCAGTGTTCTAACAGGAACGCTGGGGATCTGTGGATTTTGTTCACTAGTCCGACCAGCTACAACTTCTGTCGAAGCAGTAGCAGGCATTTGTTCTGAGGACCTACTTGTTGCAGAAAATAAATTACTAACCGGATTTCCTGGCTGTATTGTCGTCATCTCTGGTGTCCTCACTGTCGTCTGCGAATTAGCTGCCGCTGGATGAGTTTCAGGTGACCCCACGACTTCGTTGTAGGATGGAGGCTGTAGGTCATTGCTGGTGGGAGTGGCGTACACGGAAGATCGAGGACATTCGCCCTCGTTCCCGCGTATGATAGGGATCCATGTCCAGATTTCATCGTAATTGGAATATCCCTGATTTAACCGGCCATCTCGAGGATTGGCGCGTCTGGGATCAATCCGCAAAACATGTGACCTGGATATACAAATACGATTAATACTACTTTAATTTCTTTAGAAAAGTTACAAGTTATCAATGGCCACTGAATTACTGCAATTGTCTTAAATAGAGTAATTTTGTTTGCAGCCAAAAGGAGAACGATATATCAATTATCACATTTAATATGATTTAAACCAGAGAAGCACAATAATATTTATTTTACCCATTTGCACATTGTGCTCCAGTTTTCTTGTTGTTTCTGAGGATGCAGACCAGCAGAATTAGGAGGGTCATTAACAGGACCCCTCCCGCTACCCAAAGAATGATGATGACCGTCTCTATTTTCACTTCATCTCTAACAATAATACCGGTACCATTTTTTGCTGCATTATCTGAAACATCTGAAACAAACACTTCCATATGTATACGGATTCAAGAAATCTTAGCACAAAACTTTTTTCCACAAAATTAAAAGTGTCCCTGCATATTTTAGATCTCCTAAAAATCTTATCACTTGGATATGGAATTTTTCCTTATGCGGCTACAACCATAATCCATGGAGTTATGATAAAAACCCAATATCATATCTGCCTTACACAGGTACGACCCCCGCTGTTCCGAGGCGGACTGATATTGGTATATTTTATTGACCAACTGATAACTGCAGTATACAACTGCCCAGTCATAAATATTCCATAAACGGTCATAAAATGCATGTGTTGTGCCAGAGAGTGTACACCATTGAACTTTTCGTTTCTTACAGACATGAGAAAATAGCAAGACGAACAGATCGAGCGACCATGAAAATTAAGTTCTTATTTCAGATTTCTTATTTTTGACACCCGTGCATATATGTACGCTGATCAATGAAGTTTGGTCATTGAACGTTGATGAAGCTTATAATGCGGTCATTGCGTAAACGTCCGACGTTAATGTTTGTATAATATTTGTATAAATATAAAGTGGCTAATTATGAGTATACACTGTATTACACTATTCAATTGAACTTATAGTTTATATATAGATTTAGACTGTATTACGTAGGAATTTGAAGTCTGCGAGAGAAACATCTTCCGTTAATTTGTTAATTTGATACAGGAAGTAACTGGAGAAAAACCCTCAAAGACATCTTTAAGTTTGTATTAATTAAAAAAAATTAAAAAATCAAATTGAATCCAAATAAATAAAAAGACGCAAGTTTAAAATCACAATCCCCGAAAAAATTAACAAACTCACCCGAAAACAGGAGCCTATTCCAAGTGACTGGCATGCTGTTATAACGATGTTACTCTAATTTATAATGTGCACAATGACCATAAAAGCACAACAGCTCAAAAGACCATGAATTTATATATATCAAAAGAAGTCGATGAACTTGAGTTTATCCTACTTTCCGCGTTGATCCAAACTGGTGGCGTATCTGATGCAGATCGAGGGACCCCGATGGTCAATACTCGCTCGGACCTTCAATCCCCGAGGTCTTGTAATCCATCAAGCCGGACTCACGCGCAACAACACACCCTGGGGAGAGCGGCGCGATCTTTATCATATTCATATCTCATCACAGGTGGGCATTCGTACTCCATCAAATTTGTCAAAACGATTACGAGGTGATTGTAAATAATTTAATCCTATTTTTATTTGTATACAGGCTGTGGCTTTGCGATTATCAGTTTTGTTTAGTTTATAACCTTATAGAACTTGTAGTCTACACCAGCTATAGTAAGTATCGAAACTTTTAAACAAAGAAGGTAGAATGAAATCGTAGCAATTTTATATAAAACATGAGGTTAAAATCGGTGTGAAACACGAAGAAAATCTGGTGTCTTTCTCTACCCTGGGGGGATCGTGAACTAGTTGTCTTTTTTACTATTTAATGTTTCTGAATGTTTTTTGACCCGTCCTTCTTGTTAGCGGAAGTTTTATGATGTTAAGGTCTATGTAAATTTTTATTTTAAATCTTGATTTAATTTACGTGCTTTTTAGTTTGTTTGATGTTTAATTACACGGAAGTAATCATCAAATTTTCTAGACTTTAATTGATACAATGTATTTAAAACGTTTAAATCTTTACTTAACAACTTGAGTTCTGCGTATATTTTGTTTCCCTTTTAATTCCAATACCGGTATGACCCTTATATACGAGAACTACAGTGATACTTAAAATCCGTTTAAAATCACCCTTAGGAGAAATTTTATCATTTTAACATCTTAACTATATTTTTGTAGCTGTGAATGACATTACGTAAATATTCTAATTTTTGGTTTAAAAATGTATATTTTATGGAGACAAATAGCATTTCAGCATCTTGTACGCACATCCCCCTTCAGATAACAATCGCGTCTCATTGGTCGGGTCAAAACACCGGAGGCACGCGAACTATTCCGTATATCTATGTTAGATCGGACACATGGAAAACCAGGATGCCCATCAAATATCGTGCGCAGACACACCATATATTTCTTGGGGTATCTTGTGGTCTGTAGATTTTAAGATAAAGGATTACATGTTAATATGGAAAACCCCCCAGATACACTACATTTCTGGAGGGTGTTTGACATATATATGTCGATTGCATTGCTCTTATTCTGAATTAAACATACATATATACATGTATACATATATTTTGGTATTTTTAACGGTGAAGTCGGACTACGCTGCTTGTCTTCAAAGAAGTTATACGTGTACTTGTTAAACCCGACATTTAAATACAAATGTTTTTAGAAGTGTGGCTTAAGGTTGTAACTTTATCATAAGGTTATAACGTCTTATCAGTTATAATTAAGATTACAAGTATTTTGATGTGTACCCATACTTAGGTAATTTTTTACGTTAAAATGTCAAATGGATATAAAGAAAAACTTAATTGTACTTGAGAAACTTTTCAGGGGATAGGGAGAGTAAACTATCCTGAGTATACCGTCAACATCTGCATTCTTCCTTACCCCCAATAAATAACTGAATATTGAATAGCCCGTCATCATAAATAAATACTTAAAATATAATAAATAGATAAGAACAATTAGAACACAGACAAAGTACACATAAAACCTTCAACTTAACAGTCAAATGCAGAAAAAAACTTACTTTTGAGACCAAAACTTTCCATAATACTCCGTTGCCCCTTTGAAACCGATGTACGGTGGACATCTGTAAATCTGATACTGCTAATATTCTTACAAAGCAAGAGGTTTTTAAGTCCCTAAAAATTCATTATTCATCATTTGCGGGTATCTAATGCAAGGAAGCGCTGGACCGAAGTCTAGAATCAGCATCCGCTCGGCTGTCACTCTGCTAAGCTTTAGAAGGAAACCACCTCCTTCAACGCCAGCTTATCTCCCCTTGCACAAGTAACAGCGGGATATTCAAGATAAGACGGAAATGGCGCAGAAGATACTTAGGGGTGTCAGAAGCTGTTGTTTATGTTTACAAAGTCTGTCTTATATATCGATCTATGAATAATGTTTATCTACTTCAATTGTGCAGTAGAATCCCTAATGAACTGATAACAAGATATTTTGCACTATGTCATAGCTGTCTATGGCTCTGGCATCTTTAGACCTTCGTTTTCACGTTAATTATGACTTGCAGAAATTGTGATTTATAGCAAACTTAGGACTTTATACGGGAATGGTCAGTGTTCTTCAGAACACGTGCACACGTCCTAAAGAAAAAGACTCTGTTACCGAAAACAATGAAAACCGCCCTTAATTGTTCACAGCAGATTTCGACAGATGCGGGGGAACGCTTGAATTTCCTTGCGATGCACTTCATGTTTGACACCGAAACAAAAGCGTGTAAACGACAATGATTATTTTTTCGCTCCTAATCAATATTTAGGCGTATAATTTTATTTAACCGCTTAGTCTTCTTTTGATATGATAATTGTGTATGAAGTTCAAAAGTTGCCTTCTTTTGTTCTTGATCTGAATCATGCATGAGTAACCGTCCTTCTGTCATGGAAATTGGCGAAGTTTGTTAAATTAGACTCCCCTATGGCAAATTTCGCTCAACTAGAAAATACACCATTTGTTTTAAAAATTAATTAAATACCTTCGACTGAAGGAGTATGACAAGTTTTGTTTGACAAAAAGAAGAGAGGATTTCAAAGGAATAAGAAAACTGAGAAGCACACAGTAAATTTAACCCTTTATATTACAAAGGATGTTGTGGCTTTTTTTTTACTATGAAACTATTTAACTCACAGTTCTAGGCGTTTACAGTGTGAATTTTATTATTGTTTTTCCTTTAGGATTCAAATAAAAACTAAATAACTGTAAGATCTGTGAAGTACGTTAGACAACCACTATATGCAGTTTTCAATGGTTTCCGTTGGTTGATTTAATAATCACGAAGACCCTTGCTCTAATCCTATTTTATCTATATATTTGCCCTAAGATGTATCTATTTAAACAAATACTGTTATTGAACAGGAAATGTGTGGTTTCACTAAAGGTCGCACCTCCTCCATTTAAAGAAGAGTCCATGGTTGACTTTGAGTCCATTTAGGGGAATTAACTTTCAATAAAATTGACATTACGTTGTAATTTGACATGGTAAATTGCATACCTGTGCTGTTTACCTGTGGTTCATTAACTTCCCGTTAGAATACACGTGCGTGCGGGGGAGAAATGGTTCAATTACACGGACTGTTTACGGTAATAAAATACTGAGACACGTTTATGGTTTTATTGTGATTTCCCTATAAAATTAACTTTAATTACATTGTTAAAAAAAGGGGGGAAAGGCGATTAAAGTGAAAATTGCAAAAGATTTTGAAAAGCACTAATAATATCAGAAAGATAAGCAAGGTTCCATCTCAATGCATTAGTTTCACGTATAGCCCCTCCCTCGACTTTCATTCTTAGTTGAAATACTTATCAGGCCCGTAGGAAGCAAATTCAGTTTGGGGGGGGGGGGGGCACAGCCATACATTTTCAGTCGACAGTTGAGGGGGCACTACCAAAAATTTCCTGACAAGCAAAAAAAAAAAAAAAAAAAGGTCATCAGACGTTTTTATTGAGGGGGCACATGCATATAGTATCTATGTTTACTATAGTTAGCTATATATCGGCAAAATTATTGGGGGGGGGGGGGCACGGCCTACGGTTCCTACGGCCATGCGCTTATACAGTTTAATCAAAATCTTATCCTCTCCCAATAGTTTTCCCCTCTGTGGATATCCATTATTTTCTTAGTTTACATAACTGTGACCAATGATTTATATATGTAATGGTTGATTTTGCGGACATAATACCATCACACGTATCAATCGATCTGGTGGGCAGATGCTGCCATGATTTTCTTGTACTGGGAATACACGTGCTTACGTTTATTATTTATTTGTTTAGCTAGATCGATGCTTTCTTCTTAATCTGGGCTCATCTTTTCCTCTCTCTC